TTGTTGCATTTGGTGAGTATCGAAACCGAACTCTTGTTCCTCAAAGGCGAATACTGAGTGGAAAACAATCCAGAATTCAAGTTCAATGTAGCCGAAAATTGTCCTAGTGTGCAGACCATAAAGCAGAGTTTTAATCACGAGCACGAGCACATTTGTTTATTTGTAATACTGACACGTTCAAAGCGTTCATTGAAAGAAAATTCAAATTTTTAGTTCAGCGATCGCACAATATATCGAGGAGCTCCAAAAACCCGCATTCGTGACCGCGCAGTTATTACGTCTGCTATTGTTTTGTTGTCTCTATTAAATTCAGACAAAGGCAGAAGCAACTTTCTTTCATAGTGTCGAATTATTTGGTATCAGAGGAAATGTTGTAAATTATAGCAACATTACATATAGTACAAGCAAACTGAGCTGCAATATGCTGAAGTTTTCTCTCTAGATATTGGACTGAATTGCGTGATAAGGAATTTATCTAACAATATAAAGGCTTATTATTCAATAAAGTTTTTTATATATTTTGATTAGATCTAACGTCAGCAACTTACGTCAGAAATAAAAAATATTTTTTTATAATAGAATCATTGTAGAAAATGGACTTGGAGTGTGCGACAATTGTTTATGCGAAACTGGAAAGTGGCTTTCAATACTTGTAATATTTACAATGATTCATTTTTTTCGTTCGATTAGCGACTTGGCAGATGAAGACCTTAAATTTTCTTCCATATAAATGCTTCACATTCACATAAAGTTAAGATAAAAATTTGCATTTTGAAATTATTTTTTTCGAGATATTTAATACGCCCTCGTGTTTATATTGATTCCAACGAAATGTTGCTTACGATGCCAAGCATAGCAGGAAAAGGACTATTTATAGTAAATGAGTGCTAATTTTAAGTTTTTTTCACGGTGGATTTTATGTCAATTTCAAACGCGGAGATGAATAGATTAGCACGGAAAGTATTTGCGAAAGTCGTAAAAGATGAATATTTATTTCTCTGATGTTATAGTAGTCCTTCACAACTAAATGGCTGCTTTTGCAGAAACCAAACAGATGACTTCATAGTTATACTATGGATAATAATACAGAAAATCACTTAAGCAGCAGGCCACTTGCCAATTCCAGTTTTCCTTTCATATCAACTAGTTTGATAAGGGTAGCCGCTTTAGACATGCTCGAAACGAAATCAAGGCCTAGTTATCTCGCCTTCGCTTGTGAGGCCGTTAATGAGAACAATATGGCTTAACGGTCTCACAGGTAACTTTTTACATACCGTGTACTCCGTGTTCTTACAATGCAAATATACACAAAACGGACTATTCTCTCTATAGAGACAGAGAATGTTCATCATTCATATTTCATCCGCATTTCTAGCGTTACTCAGCTTGGCGTTTGGCGAGGATAAAAATTTCAGCGTTCAAAAATTGAAGCGATGTGGCTTGATTTCAATGCTACAACTGTTATACTAGACAGTTTAAAGATTTTCTCTACCTGCAGCCAAATTTTGAATTCTGTCTGATTCAATTCTGATTTGAATTGGTTGAGCAGTTCATGTCGTACCAGCGTTCATCCATAACTCGATGAACTCACGTTCCGTAAAACATATCTTTTCCTTCTGGTTGTATTTTCAGCGCCTCCAAGTATCACGGACGTTCCAGATGGAAAGGCAGATGTTGAGGTTGGAAAAGATTTGACACTGACATGTAAGGCATCCGGTGATCCACATCCACACATCACTTGGACAAAAGATGGCGTCCCAGGAAGCCAGTTCAATGCTTCTGGTTACCTGCTTCATCTTGTTAAAGTGCAGAAGAAGGATGCAGGATCATACATATGTACAGCGAGTAATGGTTATGGTGATGATGCCACCAGTGTTAGCGTAGTTAACGTTAAATGTGAGGAAGGTTTTATCTCTATTTACTTCAAATTACTGCGTCTTTTAACTGCAGTGTATTTTTCTGTTGTGATTTTAATACTTGGTGCAATTTCTCTGAGCCAAAAGCACAAGTTTTTGGAAGTTTGGACCCTCGGACCTAGTAACTATAGCCTCCTGTATTTGACAGCAACGAGGGTCCTTGCTTTCGTAACTTTGCAGTATATTGAAACGAATTTTGTTACGCATGTGATGATTGAGCTTGAGTACTGGATGTAATTAAGCCACACAGACTGTTGATATTGTCTTTGTTTGAAATGCCTGTAGCAGGATTATGGACGAGTGTAGCTTTGATTATCAAAACATTTCTTATTGGTAGTTTTACTAGCAGCCTTTGTGTTACTGTTGGGTATGGCGGTGATCCTTGAGAAGAAGGTCTCCAAGACATCATTTATATCTGTGATAAATGGAGTGTTCGCATGGGTGGACGTTTTGAACAAGAGAGGGAAAACCCTAAGCGCTTAACCCTAGTTGCTAATAAACAGACAAAATCGTTCTTAATTTAAGTTTTTTTTTATTGAACTGGAGAATGCCGCGGTGCACTCGTAACTCCCCTAAGACTTAATCAAGTAACTACTGATTATTAGTAAATGCTTGCAGTTTTAGCGTCATCGCAGTACTTGAAGCTCCCTTTTCTCGTCCTTTTCAATCTCCCGCGTGAATTCGTAATTGCATGAACACACACTGAACATATTCACTTTTGTTGTACTAACAGTGCCTCCAAGCATTAGGATCGCCCCAGAAAGAAAGGCAGATATTGAGGATGGAAACGATTTGATGCTGATATGCTATGCATCTGGGGACCCAAAGCCGACGATAACCTGGACAAAAGATAGCGTATCAGTAAAGGAGTTCAATGCTTCTGGACAATTTTTACATCTAGTTAATGTACACAGAAAGAATGCAGGGCCCTATAGGTGTACAGCTAGTAACGGATATGGTAACAATGTTACGAGTGTCAGCATAGTCAGTATAAAATGTAAGTATTTAATTTCATCTAGATACCTTTGAATGGCCATGTCTTACAACGCAAGATGCCTCTGTTTTGGTTTTCGTTTTTCTTTGTCCTAGTGCAGACTCTGTTTTAGTTGAATTTATGTGTTAGAGACTCTTGGTACCATACATATTCAACAAATCCCATACCTTGAAGGTTTCCAACATGGCACACCATGTTGGTTTTCAAATTTGGTTTTAAAACTACTGGTTTTCTATTCTTCAAAGTTGTTGGGTGTTGTTCGCCATCCTTTGTTCTCAATTGGCGTTTTGTTAGATTTAACTTGTTGTGAGTAGCTTAAATCAAGTAGTAATTGCATTCTTTTCTATGATAGGTGGTGACAAATGTAAAACGGAAAGAATAGGAATAACCATGACAGAAGAGAAATGGAATCAGTCTTTGTCAGATAAAGAATCAACTTACTTCAAGAATTTAGAATCTAAAATTTTAATGGCGGTAAGTCTTTCGAGATTAAGGTCACAG